TCTTAAAATATTAAAATTTATATAATATAGTATTGCCCGACAGAATTTCATCAGTCAGCTTTGCTGAAATTCAATTGGAATCAAGAGCGCAGAATTTGAGTTCAAAGAGTATTCAACTGTCGCGTTTGATTTTCGTTTATCTTTTTATTAGCATGCAGTCAGGTTCATTGTGGAATATTATCTTTTGTGTTGGCTTGCGGATTTTCGTGTTGGGTTGTCGTTGATTTTACTTACCATTCAGCACATGTACCGTTACGCTTTTGGGCTTTGCATTTGATGGATTACATTGGTAATGCCCGGAGTCCGATGGACGCGCTGATTTAATCAGTAGAAACGATGTCGTCGTCTCACCTTTGTTGGTTACGACTGAGACGCCGCCTCGGGGCGAGTCATAGTTGATTATCTGCAAAGGGAGAATCCGAGAATATCACAGTCAACTGGCAGTACTTGAGGGTTTTATGTGCGCACATTAAAAAGGGAGAGATATAAATAATAAAATAAAAAGCCAGAGTGAGGGAGGGAGCGAGAGAAAGAGTGAGTGCTAAGCGCGAAAAACAATCACAATTTGTATGCGAATGACATTTACAATGCCGTATGGACAACGTCGCATCAAATTAGATTTTATGCGACATTCATTTTCTATGCCATAAAACTGTTTGTGTCCACATTACGCATACGCACTGTTGCGCTACTGTTAGAAAATTAAAATTATTGGCAAAGAAAGAGAAGAAATATATGTATATGTATATATACGTGTGTGTATGTCAAAAGAGAAAAGACTGTGAATAAAGGCAAAACAATAAAATTAAATCTCCTCATGGCAAAAGTGCTACTAATGGCTGCTCACTCTGAGCCCTTCGCGCCGTCTCCCTCTCTCTTTCTCTCTCTTAGTATAGTGCTACTGTTACTCGTATTCTTAAACTCCAACTCAACCCTTCTTAAAAGCCCGCTATGCTCTATAGAAAATACATAACAATAGAAAGGCTGTGTTGTGCACAGCAGGAACCCTTACGAATTCCCCATACAATAAGCTAAAATATGGCCGTCCCAAAGTATGAAGAAAAACACCTAAAATGGAAAACTAAAACGTGGCTTTAACAGCCGCTGGGATGCCACTGACAACAGTATCGAAAGAGAAGAAGCAACAGCTACTGCAGCGGGGGAGGCAGCGGAAGAGGCAGCCAAACCAAAATCCATTTAAAACCCTTGCCTCAACGGGTTTTTTACTTTTTTTTTTTTTTTTTTTTGGGTCCCTCGCTTCGCATAGTGCTTAAATGGCATTTTCTTGCAGTCAACAAAATAGAAACACACAAAATAAGAAGGGGTGCAAAACAGAAAAAGAAATGACAAAAAAAGAAGAAGAGACCAGAAGAGAAAAGTTAAACAGTTTTTGCCAGTGCAAAGCTAATTTAAAAGTTACTAAAATGAGGCGATGCTCCAGATCCCTCATCATTTATAAGCAGCGCAATAATATGATACCCCAAAGTAATTGGCTGACGAAATTGACAAAAAGAGACCAAGTGAACCCTAATATAAATGAGAGCATCTTACACTTACAGCGTTGTTGTGATTCCAAAAGATATAGGCCGGCGGCTCAGGTGAGTTGAGTATGACACAGGTGAGATTTATAGTCGAGCCGCTCTCTATATACAAATCGGGTGCGCCAATAATTTCCGTCGAGGGCTCTGCAAGAGAATAAAAAACAAAGGAAAAAAGTTAAAAACTTTTGCTTAATACAATGTTTCGCATCATGAACCGATATCTAACCCCACACACAACACTCAAATGCCCATCAGCCTGAGCTCAAATGCTTTCAACGAAATGGGCGTCTATTTCTAGGGCTCTTTCGGTAGCTGCGCTAAGCTTGAATAAAAGAGCAATTAGGTAAATTCAGAATTCTAGCTCGCCTGAGTATCCTCATTAGAAATAAAAGTGTAATTTAAATGCGCAAAAATTTCTAAGGATTTCCATTGAGAATTTCCATGAAAGTGAAGTGCGTGCACCCACCTTTGCTGCCTTTTACACCTTTGCACCTGGTCGACTATAGCAACAAGTTTTAAAGGTCTAAATAACTTTAGACTTTTTTTTTGCGATTGGTACTTATTTGTATGTACCATCATGATTGAAATATAAGACCAGGAAATTGTTTTTCACAAAACTTCTAAAAAAAAAAAAAATAAAGGGTTCCATGGCAACCGAATACTAATTTGGCTTTGTGTAAACAGGAAGCCTCAGTTGACCCTAAATGTTTGCATACTTTTAGTATTATACGAAACTAAAAGCTCATTAAGTGAATTGCTACAAGTCAAACACTCGAATCCAAAGAACCGTTAGCATTATCTACAGCTAATGGCATTATTTTGTATAGAGAAACTTTTAAGTGCAACATAATTATCAGCAGAGTAGTATATATATTACTTCAAATAATTTCGGAAAATCATTATTGAACACTTTTCCATTGATAGTTCGCTTTGTTTATTTTCGCAGAGATATCTAATAGAAATAATAATGTCATGAGTTTATCTCATCCTTTTGGTTTCAAATACCTTCATGAATCCTTTAAGCCACTGTTAACAAATTGTTAATATATTTTGAGTATAAATATATATGTATGTAAGCCAAAAGTCTCTTGCGCCATTTTGGCTTTGAAGTCAATGAATGGCTGAACACAAAAGGCGAAATAATGCCTTGGCTTAATTCAAAGTTGCCTTAAGCCCTTCTGATGCTCTGTTTGTTTATTATATTTGCGTTCTTTAATCCCGGAATAAGTTAATAATTTGGCACAGATATGCCAAATGCTAAAGGAAACTATTTTTAATTTAAGAATTTTTGAGTTTAATTGCATAATGATTGGAGATTTTATTTATTATTAGTTTCATTTATTTTTTATTATAATTATTTTTGTTTGTCATATATATGTATGTTTCTATTTGTTTCATATATTATTCTA